CAGCAAACCAGCAGGAGGTCCAGATATTGGGAGGTGAGGGAGAAGTGATGAGTTAAAGATAATTCTAAAGTCATAAGCCTAGGTGACTGGAAGAATGGAGGTGCCCATGACAGAAAGAGGGAAGTTTGGAAAAAGGGTAGGTCTAAAGAGAAGATGTAAGGAGTTTCATTTTAGACATGTACCATTTGGAGATACTAATGAGACATTTAGGTGTCCAGCATACAATTGGAGATGTGCTATGAAGTACAGGAAAGAATTTAGGGCTGGATTAACAGATTTGGGAGATACTTACATGGAAATGATTAATGAAGCTGTAGGAACAACATGATGTAGGAGAATGTAGACAGAGAAGAGGAAGCAGCCCAGGACAGGGCACTGGGGACTATGTTATGGGAAGGAGAGAGATGATGGTCCAGCAAAGGAGGCTGAGAAGGCAAAGTCACATAAATAGGGAACGAGAAAAATGATGTCAAGAAGAGATTAACCAGGTGACCAAATAATGTCAGAAGCTTCAGAGAAGTGAACATTTAGCAGTTAGGAGATCATTTGTAACCTTGCAGAGGGTGGTTTCTATTGTATGGTCAGGTAGGAAGGTATATTGAAAGAACTTGAGTGACTGGGAGGTCAAGAAGTGGAGGTAATGCATCTAGATGACTTTTTCTAGGAGTGTGGCTATGAAAAGAAGAAAAGATAAAAGGGGTAAAGGACAAGTGAAGCCTTTTTTAGGGAGAGGAAACCTGGGAATGTCTGTAGGTGCTGAGGAAAGAAGCATTAGAAAAGGTGATGTTAAAGATTAAAAAGTGAGAGAGGCAATGATCTTTGAGCAAATTCCTGGAGGATATGGGAAGGCATAGGATCAATGGCATAAATAATGGGATTGGTCACACCAAGGAGAAGGGCCACATCCTTACCAGAGATTGGAGTAAAGAAAGAATAGTGGATGGGGAATGGTATAGGGAAGTTTTGAGGTATGAAGCAGCAAAGAAGCCCACAGAGGATGGCTTCTTTTTTCCAATTGCATTGGGACATTCCTTGTTACATGTGTGACCCTAGAAAAACGACCCTAGTTTTGAGAAGTTCTGTGGGTCAGCTCCCATGTAAAACCATAGCTCATAAGCTCCCACCATGTTTTTATTTTTTTTTTCTGGATAGCCAGAGGATACATTAATTAAAAATGAAAGATATTTAATTAAACACAATAGCAAAGAAAACAACAAGAAAAGATACACCAATTGGGTATATTCTCCCAAAGGTATATTGTCCTCGTGGGGTGGAGGATGTGCAAGAATAGATGACATGTGACCAAGGCACACATATGGAGGGCACACATGTAAGAAACAAATGACTATTAAGACACAGACAAAAGGACAAAGACCGTGGTATCCTAGAACCATTAAGAGAGAAGTAAGTAACTCACACTTCCAGAGGCTCAGTGCTGACATATATATAACGCTTCAAGTCTATAATGTTGATCTGGGGTAATTAAGAAAAGGTTAGATAATGTATAGCACATGTGTTTATAAAAATAGAGAACTATGAAATATATTTTAGGAAGACTACTATCCAAAAAAACTTGGAAAGCCAAAGGGGGAAAAAGTAAAAAACCCAAACACCCTTAGATTTACCCTCAGAAATACCTGCACTTTGATTCATCTGTCAGGATGGCCCTAGTGCTCTTTAGGTCAAGGTTAGAATCTAGTATCTGATCAGTTTGAGAAGGTCTTTATTCCCTTCTTCATGCTTTGTCCTAGTTGAATACAGAACAATCAACTGCCCTATCAAAAATTAAATCCACTGTTTAAAAATAGTCATAGGAAATCAGACTGTTCAAAAGGAAATAACATTTTCAGCTGAATCATTTACACTAATGAAAATGTAAATTAAATATTTCCTGCTCATTATTTGTTTGACCTTTTGGATAGAAAAACTTCCAATGATTAGTTGTTCTAGTATTTTTCTTTAAATGTTAAAAAATTGGAGTAGCTGTGTAGCTTAGGCCTAGGAAGCTATTTATCTGATGTGTAGATCTCAATGAAGGTCAAGGTAATGTACATTGGTTGGTGTATCTTTTAAATTTTTTCTTTCCTCTTTCTTCATGCTCACCATTATGTAGTTTTGAGAGAACCTGTGGTTCTTACCTAGGCAACTAGGTGGTGCAGTGCTAGATGCAGAGTCAGAAAGACCTAAGTTCAAATCCACCCTGAGACATTTAAGAGCCATAGGACCTTGAGCAAGGTTTTCTCGGACTCAGTTTACTCATCCATAAAAAGGGATAATAATAGCACCTACCTCCCAGGGTTATTGTGAATATAAAATGAAATAATATTTGTAACATACTCTGTAAATGCTTCAAGTGTTATGTAAATATTAACTGTTATTATTTTTAAAAGTTTATGATGATCAAACTATTTTTGAGGCAAACAAAATGAAACTCTCTGCAAATACTTGGGGCATCATTTCTCTATGTTCCAAGCTTGGAAAATTGGGAGGATGTTGAGGGGCAGCAACAAAAAAGAAGAAAGTTACATTAGGAGGAGGGAAATGATCAGTTCAGTTTAGGGCATGTTTATTTTGAAGTGATGGGGGCATGTCTGAGTCCAGATGTCCATTGGGCAGCTGGAATTGTGAGGCTCAGGGGAGAAGGGACTCCTGGAGACAGAGGTTTGGGAATGTTCCACACAGACATTAATATTGAAGTCTTGAGAGTGGGTAAAGGAGAGGGTAAGAAGGGGACTGAGGAAAGTTCTAAAGGGAATGAATGAATGCATCAGTGCTGGCTGTTGTGGGGACAAGAGCAAATGCTATGAGGATCTCCAGAGACATAGTAGACCAGTAGCATCACAGAATTCAGGGGAGGGGAAAGATCCAGAAGAAGAGATTACTCCAGTGTTAAATAAATGCTATGGCTTGATCAAGGAACATGATTGAAAAGCTGCCAAATTTGGGGTTAAGGAAGTCATTGATAACAATGGGGTGAACTCAAGCTCTTAATGGACAACTTAAACCAAAACAAAAGAAAAAAATATTTATTTCATGTGCGAGCTTTCAATTTTATCGTTATATGTTTTCTGATGCCCCTTTGAAAGATCAGTGAATTTGTTAGTGTGAGGAACTCCCATTGTGGAAACTTCCTCTTTTAATGTGATTTGAAAGCCACCTGTAATTTAGATATTCCTGATATGGGAACTCCTTCTGCCAATACAGATTGCTACACATCTGTGACTTAATAGCCAAGACCTAGAGAGTTACCTGGTGATGTTCTAACAGATTCAGTGACTCACTTGGGATCATGCAGTAAGTGAGTGTGAGTAGGGTTAAAGAAAATATATAAATATGAAAATATGAACATCTCCCTGACTCAAAATTCAGCAGTCTGTCCACTCTGTTTCGTTAGAATATGTATTTTCTTTAACTTTATAATCATGTGTTAAGGGCTTGCTTTGTGCAGAAGACTCTTGTGGGTAGTGGGGGAGATACAAAGTTTAAATAAGACACATGTCCTGTGCTGTACAGGTATAGGAGGTCCCTTAAATCTACTTCCCCAACTCACATTCAAATCTGAAGGTTGGATTTCCAGAGAGACACTTGCTACTTCAAACTCTAGGGGTAACCTAGGAGGCCTTTGCTTCTTACCTCTATAGCTTATAAGCCCCCACCAACGTACTTATTAATAAGCAGTCAGTGGACACAACTCTTAACGAAGGTATTTGCTATTATGGCATTGTAATAACATTAGGTACAGAACATCCTCCCCACAATAATAAGGTGCATTCCCTGACAAAAGCACAGTATCTGTGGGAATATTGGGATCCAACTTAGTACAGTGGTAGTGATAGGCAATGTGGTGAAGGTAATCCACACCTTCTGATATTACTGGAAGTCTCCTCCCTCCTCAGAGTCCTCATGCTGGGTTCCCAGAGTCTGTTCCTCTCCAAAGGAGGTTATCTGTGCATTGTGCCCCTCTGACTGCTAGGCATCATGCCTTCTCTGTATCCAAGTCTGTCTGGATTCCATTTTGCTGCTTCCCAAGGGGCACAGTGTCTGGTCCAGTAATTCCCTTTTAATAGAGCTCCCTTCCATTCATAGTTCTTAGCTTTCAAATTCTCTAGTTCTTAAACTTGAGCTCTCCAACTTCTGGATGGATTACTTTAAAAAATATTCAGGCCCAGGGGGCTTGATTAATTCTCTAAGTAAACACAAAATGTTTTCTGTATGGTTGTATAGACCAAAAATTCTCAAGTTTTTTGGCCTCACGTTTCCTTTGGGCTCTTAAAAAATTGTTGAGGACCCTCCAAAAGGTTTCATTTGTGTGGATTATATCCATTAATGTTTAATATATTATAAATTAAAATATTTCAGCATTATTATGAAAATAGTTTTGACCTCATGGACCCCCTGAAAGGGTTCCCCAGGAGCTCCACAGCATACTTTGAGAACTAATGGAATATAGACCATTGTAGGCAATGTTTCTGCTCACCCTCATTCCACATCCTTTAAAGGTTTTCTGTTATGTTTACAGTTGTGTTTCTAAATTCATTAAACATTTGTTTATTTGTTCTGGTAATAATGGAAGCTGTTAAGTAATTAATTGGTCGGATTTTCTCACAAATTTTGAAGGCACCCAGTATTTGGACTAATGAAAATCACCATCTTGGTATCCAGGCAGCAAAAACATTTTTCAACTTTTGATTCAAATAAAACATCCTTTCATTATTGTTGTTTCTTTTTAATCTGGAAAATGTATAAATACAATTAAGATGATTGTAAACATAAATGCTTGAAATTAAACTTTGAGGCAATTTAGCATCTTTTGAATTGTTTTTAAAAGCAAGATCTTAACCATGTAATGTTATAAGTGATGGCGTTTAAACTGTATTTATCCAAGGTGTTATTTGCTTTATTACAGAAGGGGGCACTTTTGATCTGTATGGGTTTTGGAGCAGAAATGGGAATTTGGAAGGACTCACAGTCTTATGTAATAATGGCATTTTTGTTTTTAGGTGACTTTTTCCTGTGACTGTGAGGACCAGTATGTGGGCACTTTCTGTGAAGAATTCGACGCCTGCCAAGGACAACCATGTCAGAACAATGGCAGTTGCGTTGATGCCATTGAAAAACATGATGGGAACAATTTCACCTGTGTTTGCCTGGCTGGTAGGTTTTAAATGGCATTTTGCACTAAGTCTTAGGCATTTATCCTTTATGTACAATTCATCCTTCTGAAATGTGTACCTTGCATTTAGGTATAACTTAGAGGGAATAAGAGGGCTTTATGTATTTGAAGGACTGTCTCACGGAAGAAGGATTAGACACGTCCTACCTGGCTTCAGAGGAGGGAACTGGAAGAAATAGATGCAAGTTTAAAAAGGACAAATTTAGACATTATTGAGGAAAAAGGGAAAGATCTGTGGATTAGTAATCTAATTGGCATAGGGCAATGATGGATGAGGGCACTTCCATATCTCTACCAATTTTGGTATTTTTCCTGTACCTAGCAGATTTAGAAAGTTTCCCAGAACACTAAGGGGTTAAGATACCTCCTTAGGATCATACAGCCAAGATGGGTCAGAGGCAGGATGAAAAAAAATCTTTCTATAATTAGATATAATTTCCATAATTTCTATAATTAGAAACATCCCAAAGTGGAATGTGCTGCCTCAGGAGTCAGTGGGCTCCCCCCTCCTTGGAAGTCTTTAAGCAAAGATTGGCTGACCCTTTGTCAGGTATCTTTTTTAAGGGATCCTTGTTTAAGTTCAGGTTGGACAAGGACCGTGAGATTCCATTCAATTCCAGTCAATAAATCACTGAGATTCTATGATTCTTTATTCGAGATGGGGATAGCTCTGTTTGACATCAGTTAGTAGACTAATTGCACTCATGACTCTTTTAAGGCCTGGCTCTCTCTATTAAAAAGTAGGGTGAATGATGTGGAAGTCTGTATGAGTTAAATAGCTTTCCTCCTATGTCTTTCCTTTTATTGATGGGTATATGTTGGTCAAGGGCCGTGGATAGTCTGATAGATAGGTGGCAGTTTGGGAAGATAGGCAGAAAGTCTAGGAGAAAGGGATATGCCAATAAGTAAGCCCTATACTAAAAAGCTCCAGATCTTAGAATAGGCCAGCGAAGAAGGGATATTTTTAAGATTTCAATTCTTGGATAGACACAGACATATTTATATGGGTGCATATAATGGAATAGCTCCTTCAGTCCTTCAAAATATCTGTGATTCTGTTGGTGTGGGTACTTCCCTCCTTAACATAGACTTGCAACATTCCTACTATTTAAAAGAAAATCTTCATGAGTTTCTGTGACTAAAAATTTTATTACACTCTGGCCAACTATCCATTGATTATGGGGTTATAGATGTGGAACTGAAAGAGATCCCAGAGGCCATTTAGTCTAACACTCTTATTTTTAAGATGAAGAATCTGAAGGGGCAGCTAGGTGGCGCAGTGGATAGAGTACAGGCCCTGAAGTCAGGAGGACCTGAGTTCAAATCTGGCCTCAGGGCAAACACTTGCTAGCTGTGTGACCCTGGGCAAGTCACTTAACCCCAATTGCCTTAAAAAAAAAGATGAAGAATCTGAGTCCCATGGATAGGAGGGAGATTGTGTCCTAAGGTTCCAAAGGGAGTAAATGTCCAAAGCAGGATTCAAACTCAGGTCCTCTGTTTCCAGGAGAGCCAGATCTCTTTCCAGTTCCTTAAAACTTCCATCTAGTGCATGACAGCTGACATTTACACATCCCTTTTGAGTTTAATACATGATCATCTCATTTGATCACAGCAATGCCATGAGGTGAGCCCCTATAGGTGTGTATTTCTCCAAGCATAGCAAGACTAGTCTTTGGACAGCAGGCATACACTATGTTGCCAAGTTCATGGTTAATGCTTTCTGCTGCTTGCTAAAACCTGTCAGAGCTGGTGTTACACCCACCTTTGGGAACATTCTCATGCTATAAGGTTCAGGTAATGGAACAACATCCTCAGTGTAGTAGCAAGATAGACGATTCTACAATTCATTTCAGGAACCACTTATAAAACATGAGAGGCTGTTAGAGGCAGCACGGCTTGGTGGGTACAGAGATGTCTTCAAAGCCAAGAAGACCTAGATTCCAGGCTCATCTTTGATATATACTGGCTGCATGGCCCTGGGCAAGTCATTTAACATCTTGGAGCTCCAGGTGAATCTACAGGACTGCAAGTTGTAGAGAAAGTGCTCATCTGCATTAGTGAGGAAGTTGACTCACCTGGGAGTTCTGTATATTCATGAGATCACAGGGATAGTCTCTATACCGAGACTTTTCCATCTATTTCATCTGAGACTTGTAATAGTAAATAAACATTTATTAAGCACCTACTATGTGCCAAGTACTGTACTAAGCACTAGGGATACAACTATGAAAAAAAGGATAGTCCCTGCCCTCAGGGAGCTTACAGTCAAATGGGAGAAGATAACATATAGCATAAAGCTGAAAAATCTGGGGTAAAAAGCGGGTACCTGCCTTGGGGGCATAGTGGAGAAGACAAACATGTCCAAAATGAGTGCAGGTAGTTGGGAGATGAAAGATATATGAGGAGATGTCAGTCCCCATTTTGCAGATGAGGAAACTGAGACTGAAAGAGCATTGGATTTGGAATCAGAGGACCTACGTTTAAATCCTTTTTCCATTGTATACACATGTGACCTTGGACAGATCCTTTCACTTCTCTAGGCCTCAGTTTCCTCATCTGTAAAATGAAAGAGATGGATTAAATGACCTCTGCGGTTCCATTCTAGCTCTGAATTTACTAACTTATGATCATATGCTTTGCCCAGGATCACGTAGCTAGTAAGTGTCAGAGACAGGATTTGAACCCAGTTCTTCCTGACTTCAAGTACCACATTCTATCACTATGTCATGCTTCCTGTATAAATAAAATAATGTCTCTGAAGTATCAGAGTATGTCTTTTGTGGGCTTTTTTTTTTTATCTTTTTGGCAAATGGTATCTCGGGCAAGGTGTTTGCTAATGTTAAGATTGCTAGGTGTTTAATTTTTTCCTTCTACCTACTCAAAAGAACATTCTGAGTAATAGTTGCATAATACATTTGAAAACTGCTTTCAGCAATATTAGAAAACCTATGGAAAATTCATTGCTAAAAGACTTCATTTCAAACCCTGGCTCTGTGACTTAGGGCAAGTCACTTCTATCTTTCTGGGCCTCAGTTTCCACTTCTGTAAAATCGATGGCTTGGATCAGGTAGCCTCAAAGGACTTTTCTAGATTTAAATCTGTGACTCTGTGATCTCACAATAGCCTCATCATAAATTCTATAGGAGCAAGAAAGAATGGGCTTGCTTCCATTCATCCAAATTCAACATCTCTAAGTAATATGTACCACAGGTAACACATAGTGGTAACTATGTGACTGTTAGACTGTGGGTTGACTTTGGGACATCTTTATTAGCTGAAGAATAATAATACCTGACATTTATATAGCCCTATAAGCATTTTACATAGATTATCTTATATTATCACCTATTCTTTCAGCCTCTGAACCCAATAATCTGAGAAGATCAAGGGTCTGGACAAATGGCAATATTTGTCTTTTTTCTTTACTGTTGTTGGTGATTTTCCAGACAAGTGGTCATGAGTGGGTTGGTGCCTACAATGTGGCTTACAATATGTGAAACACAAATCAGAAGAACAAAGAGTTGATCAAGGCACAATATTTGGGGATGCAGGCTTTTTTATATACCTGATAACCATTTTGGGGGGGGGGGATCCAGACCTGTAGTCTTAACAGTATAGAGGAATTCTTGGAGTAGAAACACCATCCATGGATATACACCAGCTTCTCTTCTTCAATTTATAGTCTTAGTGAGTTGCTTGGGGCCATTGAGTGTTTATGTGATTTGACTGAAGCCAGAATCAGGACCTGAATCCAGGTTTTCTTGACTCAAAGGCCAGCACCCTACCCACCATGCCACAGTATTTCTTCAGCCATAGTCATTCATTTCAGGTCTTCCTAAAAAGTCTATTTAAAAAACTCAATGAAAAGAAATCTCCCTATTAGATTATAAGTTCCTTGAGGGTAGGCATTGTTTTTGCCCCCTTTTTGTGTCCTCAGGGTTTAATACAGTACCTTGCACATAGCAAGCACTTAATAAATGTTTATTAATTGATTATTGATTGATCTTAGCAAATGGAACACAAAAGACAGTTCCATCACTCTTTTCCTATAGTATCCAAAGTTTATTTTGAAAGTGAAAACATTAGCCATCTGGCATATTGTTTTCTGTTAAGGTCAAATAAGATAACATATGTGAAGTGCTTTGCAGTCTTTAAAGTGCTATAAATATTAGTTATTATGATTGTTATTGTTAGTATTAAGATCACTAGCTGATCTGATCTGTCAAAAATGAGTGGTTGTCTTAGAAAGGCAGTTTGTAGCTGGATGTCCTTGAACCTATGCTGGGTTAGGGCAGGCTCCATGGCCTGCAGTTACCCAATGATGAAGGGACCCAAGTCTCAGGAGTTTCTAGATTTGGCCTCCAGCAGCCTCCTCATATGTGTTGAAGAGGCCATAGATTGTCTCTTTTGTTCACATACCCTTCATAAGGCACCCTATAAAAACTAAATGAGTTTAACCTTCAGAGACATCTCAGGAGACCTAGGATGATTTCAAGGGAACTTCTGTTAACAAACATACTTTTCCCCAAACCTCGTATCTCTTCTCCTTTGATGTTCTCGTCCACTCCATGATCTCAGTGAACATCTGAATTCCAGTGATTCCCAAACTCACATCTCTAGCCTCCCGTTGCCTCCTGAGTTCCAGGTCTGTATTTCCAACTTCTTGCTAGACGTCTCAATTTTGTAGATCAATCGATCAATCAACATTTATCAGGTGTCTACTATATGTACCAGGCATTGCGCTAAGTCCTGGACAAAGACAAAAGTGAAAAAGCCTCTGCCCTTGAGGAGCTTACATCCTAAGGAGGAAGACAGAACACACACACATATAAGTATGTGGAAAATCCATCCCAATGAATACTCAGTTATTTTGGGAGGGAGATCATGACCAGGGAATGGAGAGGATGGGTTAGGAAAGACAGTGTAGAAAGTACTACTTGAACTGAGTTTTGGTTGAATGAAGATAGGGTGATCATTTTTA